GTCCTTGATCGTTCGGTTTTTTTTTTAATTTTTTTTTTTGTCAAAATGGCGGCCTTGCAAAGTTGAAGTGCCGATTTTTGATCCTTAAAATTTGTCTTTGATTGGCTGTAAAAAATCGAAATTAAATCATAGACGAAATCCGAACGATCGTGGACTGCACAAAATAGTACTGAACAGAAATCAAAACGAATCGGACGAATCGAATGTATACATTTCGAGAAATGTTTGGCACCGGTTTTGAAAATATGATTCCGAGATAATCGTGTTTAATGTTTCAAGTTGGGTTTAGTCCACTATAAGTGAATATTTTTGTACGTCGCATAACTTTCACAATTTTCATCGGATCAACTTGATCTTTTGAGGAAATATTCTTGACTTTATATACTTTCGATTAGGACAGTAAAAAAAATAGGACAGGAGCACATATCGTGGTAGGGGTAAACAATAGTTGCAATTTCCAAACCTACGACTGGATGCCTTCCTTCAAATAACAACTGAAGTGCGGTAAAAAATCGGTAGAACTGTTTCAAACACACAGTTGGTACATGAGCGGGTCGGTCTTCATCTCTTTTTGCCAGTGGTGGCGGGGGGGGCACCCCTCACCATCCCTCTCCAAAGGGGGAGTTTGGTAAAGAGAGATGAAAAAACCGATTTGTGCCTTCTTTAAAAGTTGTCCTAGCTCGCTTGTCTAATATCTATATACAATCTTCACACTGCCGTACTCTAACGGAACTATCAACTCTATGCTTTCATCTACTCCATCTATCGTATAAAAATTACCACTACAGTCTGTTATTTGAAATTAGCATCTTCAACTATAAAAAAAATAGATTTTTTGAAAGTTTGCAGGTAGGCGTAACCCCTTAAGTGTCTACTTTGGATTTTAGATCGATTCGTACAAGTGTACAAGTGTTAGTTTTTTTCGTTCATAGATAAAAAAAAATGCCAATTTGTAATCTGGAAGCCTGTTCACAGCATCGACTTGCATTTTTCATCCATAGTATTTTGACTTTGAAATCACATTATTCTACATAGAACTACATATAATTAAAAAAATGTCTGAAACTTTTCTCTGAATGACGATTTGACCAATTTATTCGGAAATTGAATAAGTAAAAAGGATCAGATCTCTCCATAGGCTTCTTTTGGAAGCTCATTCTAGACGCTTGCCCGTCGCTTCGCTTCTCTGACTAAAATTAAAGAACGGGCAGTAAATCTGAGAAGCTACGCAGTACAAGAGCAATTGTTTTTGCAAGTCATAAGGAGCATTTCATCGTTTTAATATTACGTTTCCATAGCTGTCCTTTACAACTAGTAGCATAGCTTAACAATTCTGGAAAACTTAAGACACGAAAACAGAAATACTCTCAAATAAACGTCAACCATATAATGAACAAACTATGTAGCTGATACTTATGTAGTGGCATCATGTTACTTAAAAATAATCGTGCCACAAGTTACGACATGGCGTATTTCCATTACCACACAATTTTCCCAACATGCAACACCTATATGGGCATGAACGGTTTCCTACTAAACCTTTGATGATTTTAACGTATCTGTCCCGTCGTAGGCAGGCGAGCAGTGTCGTTCATATCCCTGAGCCATATCGGTCGTAAAATTGTGTGTTTCCCCCATCAGGAAAGAGAAAGAGAAAATTCTGAGTGGATTGCTCATAGCGTGCCTGATGCTTTCGAACTGATATCGTGATGATGGGTTGTTGGTCAGGTATGTTTGCTGTATTAATATCGCATATGGGGTCTTCAGTTCAGAATACAACCAAGTTTGTGGTTTGGACCTTCCTGCCCTACGCTGATGAAATATGAATTGAAAACGAATCACAGAGCAAAATGAATTAAAATACGTGATCTAGCAAGTATGTGAATCGAATAGTAATCAATTTGGACAATCTTGGCTTTTTGCTATAGTGAAGTAACCTATTACAGCTGGGGCAAAGTTGGACTAGGGTTACAGGATGTAAACTAGCGGTGTAATGGTAAGCGTGATTACCTGTAACCCCAGCAGGCATGGGTTCAATCCCAGTTGGCGCCGCCGGGATGTTTTGAGGTATAACATCTCTGATCACGCCTTACGGGAAGTAAAGCCGCTGGTCCCCGGTTCATGAGTTGATGCGTCGATAGGTAGGGTCCAGGTGTGGGAGCTGCTTCCCTGGCGTCGGTAGCATTGGTGTTCAGCACGGAAAACAAGATCGACGGAAAACAAATCAAGGAAAAAAAAAGGATGTAAACTAGGCCTAGCCACTTAACTCGGCCTATCATGTAAATAACTCATTTTTTAGCAATAAATTTTAATTATAATGATATAAAAAGTTAATTACTCATTTAAAATGGTGATCCGCAAATCAATTACTTAGTAATCAGACGAATTGAGCACACAATTTGTGGTTCGTCTAGTTTTAGCCTGCGCTTCCCTCGCTGTTCTGCGCAACATTGTTTTTTGAAATTTCTGCTAAAATAATGTAAAAAGATTCTGGCTCGTTTTGATTTTGTTTTTTAAATTATTTAAATTTGTATTGTTTTGAAAAAAATAAACATACAAATATTTTTTTCTATCTCATCAAGAAAAAAAGTTAGGTTTTAAACAAAATTGAAAGGGCTATTTTTATGGTCTTTCGATTCCAACTTTTTGTCATTATAACATAAAAAATAGGTTTTACGCATATTTTTTTTGTTTTTGGAAAATTATACAAAAACTGATTTATTTTGTTTTGTTTTTGACATATTTTTCGATTTTTTTTTTTATTTCGGGTGATAAGCTTCCCGTTAATTAATAATTGGGTTGTGTATAACAGTGACTCAAAGTAAGTTGACCAAAACAACCAGCAATCTTATTTCAAAGAATATTTTCGAGGTGCCGAAGCTACATCCATTGAGACAGTAGGCCGATAATTAATCCATGTTCGTGAAAGGTTTTCATGTGACGATGGTTAGTTTAGTAGCTATCATGCTCAATTGTTACGGAAATGAGTAGCTACGTATGATGACAGTGCAGTCTGTAGCATAATTATTTGTTAAGATGTAATTAAAACAATAATTGATGGCTGGTCATAAGACCCAGGTTAGGAACATGTACCCTATGCGTCCAGAATACTACTTATGGCACTTTATCACCGCTTATGGTAAGAAGAGGCATGGAGCCTACATTCAGTAGTGGTAGAGCGTTGAAATCCTCTGTGTTCCGTCTGAGACTAAATGCTATGTGTAATCATCGTTTCAAGCAAGAGTTACAAACGTGTTGTTGCATTGCACTGTGGTCCAAAATAGCAAAAAGTGGAACTTTATTCCTAGCACGTAAGCTTTTCATTTCAGCCATAAAGTGTCTTGAGAAGAATTGTTTGTATGCACATCCTTCACAATTTGAACGCAACAAAATTTAGTTATGCCGTACTATGATAAAACAAGAAAACTATTATTTTTTTCTTTGAAGATATAGAGGAACACTCACTGCGCTATAAAAAATGTTTTTCGGAATTATGGAATCATTTGGATGCTATTATGATAGTTTGTACCGTAAAACTGGGTATCTTTGATAATGCGGGTAACTTTGATAGTATAATGTAAAGATTAAATTTACTCGTTGCGCTTTTTCCAAATAAGAAACATTGGTTCCATATTGTTGCTTAGGGTATTTCCGTTGATATTGTATATAGCCTTTATATAGTATGTGTTACATATTTTACAAACATATTAAAAAACAATTTTCGTGTTTTTTGTCTGTTTGAAAAAGCACTCAAACCATCACTTATGAAATGTATTTCCGATATAGCCATCACAAATTCAATGTAGTATTCTTATTGCTTATGATGTTTTCTGATTATATACTCATTCAAAGTTTCATATTCAAAGAACTAAATTGTTTGAGCTTCAACCATATTTTTCTACATTCATCGAGCATTATCAAAGGAACCCCAAATCATAAAACTGAAGTTCGGTCACACAACTAAAAAAATAGTACGAATGCTTTAATTTAATTTAAACATATTACTGATGAACTGACTCTTGGATCATCAGTGCTTGTTTTAAAAATATAAAATTTGAAAAACATTCATTGCTGTTAAAAATATTTATAATATATACTTTAAAAAAACTATCAATGTTACCCCGTTTTACGGTACTTGTCAGATACAAGAAGGGGTTGGAATGTATGTATTAGACACATAAAACCTGCCAATTTCGTTTTCAGTGCGTCACAATAAGCGAAATTATGACTCGTGAGCGCTCACTCTGAATCGTAAAATCGCTGATTGTGACGCACTCAAAGCAAAAATGACAGGTTTTATGTTCCAAACACCTAGTTTGCAACCTTTTCTTGTAACTTACAAGTACTAATTATCATTATAATACCTAATGATTTCATAATTCCGAAAAACAATTTTTGTCGCAAGTGGAAGTGTGGAAGCAACCCTGTAGAGGAATTATGCCCTCATAGTGATGGAGCATTTTTTATGGCAACTCCCATAAATATAGTTTTTCGATCATGACTTTTAGTAAATATTTTTTCAGGACACAACGTTCTAGACATATATTATACTACAAAAACACACGTTTTTGTTAAAGACTCTAACTGCTTCATAACACTGCAAATACTGGACTTAGAATGTTGACTACTGCAGTCAAGTTGCTTATTTTTATTTTTTCTACAACTTTCCTGAAGACTTAATTTCTCTATATGTTCATAGAAAAATGTTACTTTTTTTATCATAATCAGACATGACTTATATTTGTTACGTTCAAATGGAGGAGAATATTCATACAAACAAATTTTATCAAGACACGTTATGGCTAAATTGAAAAGGTCAGGCTCTAGGAATAAAGTTCCACTTTTTGTCATTTTTTACCACAGTGCATTGCTATGGTAGTAAAAGAAAATACACATGAGAAAAGTGATGATAATTACATTTGTGGACATATTATCACTTTGCCATAATTGATTATTCCGCAAACGCTTGACAGAGTCACTCTTTCTCTTTTCTTTTGCAGGATATGTTGTTGCGTCCCCTGGTGAATGTGTCCATTCTAGTGTTGGTGTTAAATATCAATGTAGTGAGTGGATATAATCAGTTACATATCGGTGGAATTTTTCCAATTAACGGCAAAGGAGGCTGGCAAGGTGGTCAGGCCTGTATGCCAGCTGCTAAGCTAGCTCTTCAGGATGTTAACGAGAAGGAGGATCTCTTACCGGGATTTAACTTGACACTTCATAGCAACGATAGTGAGGTAAGTCTATTCAAAGCATCCCAATGCAAGAAAATCCTGTGATTCATATATAAACTAAAGTAATCTGAAGACCAATCAAAAACTTTTTGCTCAAAAATGTTGCAAAAGTTACTATTCCGACGGAACTATTTTCTACTAATTAGTTACACCAAGCATAACCAAATTGCGGTTATTGTTTATATCCTTTGAAAAATCAACTCGTTGGAACATTATACAATACCGGACGACAAAACTCCTTTTTCACCCCGGAAACTTTTGGGACAAAACCGCATAAATTTGCAAGTTTAATTGCTGTTCGTAAAATTTCTAACCGATCTGGCATGTATTGAATAATATCTCTCCAAAGGAAAAGGTATCCAATGTAAGGTTAAAACTAAAGACATCCAGTTTCTGAGAGAAAATGAAAGCCTTCCCTAAAAGATCCTAGCCGCCGGTTTTACACATTTGAAATCACCAACCCCCTAGGAATCAGGGCACACAATAAATATTTTATTTTCGAGTTGCCGGTGCCACTTTGCTTCAGTTTTTCGGCCCTTTTAGCCGTTTCTAAGTGCGATTCAAATCGTGCTCCGGAACGATGCCCCTTGCATTTGTTTACTTTGTCCGTCCTTTGCTTCCCTTTTTCACATTATTTCCCCTAAATTCATACATTTTTCATTCATTTAAGTAATTTGTCTCAGGAAAATCAGCTTTTGAGATTGGGATGCGTAGTTTTATTTTTAGCCTGAAAACTTATTGTGATTTTTTTTTGTTCAAGTGTCACCATCACCGAAATAGCGGATTTGTCAGCTTTCATGTATATCGGATTTTTCTTCACCAAAAGTTAGTTTGTTTTTTTGTGCATTTTTACAAAGGAAAGTTTTGTCTTTTCAGAAGCCGTACTGTGTATGAGAAAATCGAATAGGGCAAATGAAGGTTTCGGTAATACCTTTACCCATTATCATCAGTGGGTAAACATAGTTATTTAGCGCTCAATTTTGGCCCATCGATGAAACATGATGTATGTCATGCAAACAGCGTTCATTCGCCCTGGAGATGATTGATTTATTTTGTCGAAACCGTCATATAGATAATTTAAGGCCAACCAATCTGGGAATTAATTAATCCGCTACTTTGGACAGACAGTATCAACCTCATTTGCAGCAATTTTTATTTTTCTTCTTCTAACTGTTCTTGGCAAAAATGTTTCATTTGAAAATTAAGATCAAGAGGAGACTACGCTCAAGGAATACAGATTTTCAATGAGGAACTCGAAGCAGTTGCAAAAGGATTAAAAGTGAAGAAAGCCTTGGTCCAGATGGTAACCCCAACGTGGCTATGAAAACGGCTATCCAAGCGTTCCCAGTCATGTTTAGGATGGTGTTGCAAAAATGTCTAAATAGACCAGAGAGACCAGATTTTTTTTTTCAGAAGTCTGCGAAAAATGTCTGTAATTGGGCTGCATAAAATTAGCAAAAGTTTTGCGTGTGACGGGGTGTGGTCATGAAATAGATGCGAAATTTGAAATGTCATTAAAAGTCATGTTCGAGCAGAACAGACCTCACACTAATTGGAGTTAGGAATGCATCCATTTACGCCGTATACGTTAAAAGCAATTAATAAAAAGATAAATTACGATTACACGACAAAAGCGGTGCCAGTGATGTAGTGGTAAACGTGATTACCTCTCACCCCAGCAGGCCTGGGTTCAATCCCAGTCGGCGCCGCCGGGATGTTCTGAGACATAACATCTCTGATGATGCTTTCAAGTAAAGCCGTTGCTCCCTGGTTCATGAGTTGATGGGTCGATAGGTAGGGTCCAGGTGTGGGAGCTGCCTCCCTGGCATCGATAGCATTGAAAATCAAGATCGACGGAAAACAAATCAAGGAAAAAAATTACACGACAAATTTGGTCGACTCAAAGTTGAGATTAGTTTACTCATATTCTTGAAAACGTAGGTAAGACTGAGTAAAACTTTCCGAGGTTTTACAGGAATTTGTTTTCTAATATGAGCAACATCAAGATTTACATTTTAAATTAGTACACGGGAATGGATTCCCAATGTCATAATATTTTTTCAATAACAAAACCGATGATATCTATCTCAATTTCACATAATATTCATGTGATCACATGAATTCTATATGATATATCACTTAAATTTTATTTGACACATAAGGTTCATGTAATTTTGTTGTGCAGTTTCCAATTATGATATCACATGAAAGTTATGTGAAATTCTAATGAATATTTACAATTGGATATGTGATTTATTCTTTGAGTGTATATTACTAGAATGAGTAAATTTTCCGTCGATGTTTGTCATATCCGAAAAGATTTATGAGGAGCGGAAAATTTTACTTAGTCTACAAGTAAACTACGTTTTCTAGAGTTTTCATAAAACCGCCAATAAAATTAATAGCTCCAGCACAACCTTTTGATAACCGCTATAAGATCGTCATACAGCTTAGTGGACCACTCTTGATAAGGTTTATAAAGCATGTTTGAGAATCACAATAAAGCTGTCTTAAAACCTTTTGTCAGGAAGCCTCATACTCTACAAAAGGTTCTCATAGCCTCTATAAGAGTAATATTGTATCCAAGCAGTTTTATTACGCTTTGGTGAAAATCAGTTATAAAGCCAATTTAATTTTTATTGGCATCAAAGCAACCGCCATAAATTAGCTTGTTGTTGTTCTGTTCTGCCGAAACTTTTTTTTCCAAATGGAAATCTTTAGCGGTAAAAATATGTTTGAGTGTTGGTGTCAAGATCACCATGCCATCAATTTTGTTTCATGGCGACATTAGTGAAAATTTTAAAGAAAATATATGACTTTTTAGAAGTTCCAAAACATATGCGCTTGAAATGTTATCGTGTATATTGAGATAATATGAGCGTTAAATAAATGCGCCTCCAAAATAATTCAAGTTAACAAAAAAGATTGTTTCAGAAATCAAATGAATTTGATGGAATTACCTTACAGAAAATTGATCTCAATACATAAACTCATACCAATGCACACTGGAAATCATTTCGGATCTCTTATTTAGCCATTATTTTATTGAAATTTCTTGGATTTTATTCCAAGGCTAATGGCATTTTCATAATGACAATATGGCGACAGAGGACAACAGGCAAGAAAAACACCAAGCGCAATTTCTTAAAATGTCTAATGCTTACATTGCACACTGGGTCAGGAATGCAACCTAGCGGATCAACATTAATAACTCCGAAACGAAGCATTTCCGTGACTTGGTGTCTTCGGCAAAATTTCTCGTCATAATAAGGACCATCTTTTGACATAAACAAATAGTTCAAAACTCTTCCGCAAAGATGGTGCCACAATCTAACTTCTTTCTCTGACGTTTTGGAGACTTGATGTCTTGAGCAAAGTTGTTTATCTTGACAAAATAAACAGCTATTTCAAAGACGTTAAATTTCCACTGTCTACTGGTTCCAAGTTATATGGAGTTAAAGAAAAAATGTTGAAAATATGGTTTTTTTTTCTGTTTCGGTTTTTTTTGCTTACAGCTTTATAATGTTTTATTATTCTCTTATGCAAATACATTAAATAAATAGATTTTGTGAAGAAACATACTGGATTAAACTTCGAATTTCAAAGATATTGTTGAAAAAACGAGAAAAAAAAAACACAATTTTTGAACATTAATATCTCCCAAAGCGCAAAAAATCGCAACCTGTCGACTTTCTCTTTCGTTGATAACTTATTCACAGAACCGTTTCTTGATGTGTTTGTCGTATTGGATGCTAGATAAAAGCTTCTTTTATCGATTTATGTGCTGAAAATACCTGGGAATGTCTTTACATGACCGTGAGGATGCAAAGAGAAAGTTGACGAAGCGAATCTGTCAATATTACTTAGAACCTAATGCAATGTTCAGCTTGAATTCATTTTTTTTATTTGAGGGCAAATGTATATTCCTATTCTACGGATGCAACCGATGAATTTTACAAACATTTAGAAAAGTTTTGAATGGTACATTAACCTTTATGAAAAGTTATGCGTGATTTCAACCTTTTTGCCCTAGGACTGTCACCATTTCGACCAAGATTCGACCGTGTCACCCCATGTATATGCGAGCGAGACGTATACACGAAATGTTTTCATGCTCATGCTAACAATTTTGTTGATTTTCTTTGCGCTTCGCTTGGAAGTACCGGAAAGTTTTGATTCTTTTCTATGTTGTAAAAATAAACCACCTATTTACATTTCTGACAAGTCGCAACTGAATGCTTATAATTGTTTTAAAATAACTGTTTCATGGCCAACTAGTTTTATTGCGCTTATTTATAAAGCAACGAAAGGATTATTTTTTTGGTTTTATAAGGGCAATTTATATTACTTTTTTGTATACTTCAAAGCAATCATAAAACCTTTCATAAGTGAAAATAGCATAAGCATCAGTTGGTTTTTTAATTAGCTTTATAGGGGTTTTGTAGATAGCTTTAAGAATGTTTCATGACTTGCATTGTATATGACCGTCATAAAGCTGTAGGTAATGGTTGCAGCTGCAATAAAACCTTTATAAATTTGGAATATAGCCAAGCAGCTCTAGATTTGTTACTTGGGACTGCTCCTTTTGCAGACCAGCAGCAGGGGAATGAGCACATCTTAGTCAGAGATTCAACTTTCCTAAATATGGAGAAATCACCAGATCATTATTTTATTTTTACGGATAGTCTCAGGTCGAGGCTATTCGCTCTATGCGGCCGGTAAAGCACTCCTCGTATTTTCTTATGAAAATACGAGAGCTTCTAAGTGCTTTATCTTTAAGATCTTTAGTTATCACCTTTGCTGGGTCCCATCTCATTGCTCGATTCCGGGCTCACTTGCTAAGGTGGGCGCTATAGAAGGCGATATTTACGATCGACAAATCGCCTACGATGAATTTTTCTTCATTTACCGTCAACAGTCACTCGTCAGCTGGCAGAATAAATGGAGTGAAGGGTGTTTGGGACGATGGCTATATTCGATCATCCCTAAGGTGTCGAAGTGTCCTTGGTTCAAAGGTTTGGAGGTGGGTCGAGACTTCATTCGTGTGATGTCTCGCCTCATGTCCAATCACTATTCGCTAAGCGCTCACTTGTTCCGTGTTGGGCTGGGGTACAGTAATCTCTGTGAATGTGGACAAGGTTACGAGGACGCAGATCACATTAT